TGTGTGTGTGTGTGTGTGTGTGTATGTGCGTGTGTGTGTATGCGTGTGTGTACTTTGTGAAACACCAAAACCAATGTACCGGGATCTGGACAATAAAGACAGATGTATCTTATCTTACGTGTCGTTTGATTCTGTGTGTCTAATTCGTTCTTCCCTTCACTTTTAGACTCTTATCGTGTAACTCACACAAATCAACATATTATCAACTGTCTTATTCTCGCCCATAGCTACGTGTCTGTTTGGAGTGGTGTGGTAGCTTTTCTTCTTCGCAATAATATATTTTTTTCATCAACCTTTTTTCGCTAAATATCGTGGCATTCGTAATGTAGACATAGCAAAATACAACTGAGCAACTGGAACAACAGCAACAAAAATAATGTAAGTGTGTTTGTGTGTGTGTGTGTGTGTGTGTGTGTGTGTGTGTGTGTGTGTGTGTGTGTGTGTGTGTGTGTGTGTGTATGTATGTATGTATGTATGTATGTGTGCGTGTGTGTGCGCTGTTCGTAGAGATGAATCTTATCTTATCTTAAACGTACACAGTAAATCTTAAACATACACAGTAATAACATCAACAAAGCCACAACTATTACTAACAGACACCCCCCCCCCCCACTCTTCTCCTTGCTCCACCCGCAGACAAACTCCCACCTGCGCACCCTGGACCTGTCCTGGAACGGTGCGGGCAGGGACGGTACGATGGCTGTGGCAGAAGCCCTCGGACGTAACGAAACTCTGGAGACCCTCCACCTCGGACATTGCAACATCTCCTGGCAGGGCGCGAGACAACTCGCCAACGCTGTGGCTTCTAACCCGTGTCTGAGAGTGTTGCGGGTATGTGGATGCTTCCAAATAATAATATGTGTCTTTGAGAGAAAATTTGGTATATGCTCACTTCTTTGTTTACCCCCCCCCCCCCCCAAAAAAAAAATTCCCCCAAAAGACCCCAAACAAACAAACACACATGACAAACAAACATACATGACAAACAAACAAGCAAACAAACCAAAACAGGACAAGACAAGACAAGACAAGACAAGACAAGACAAGACAAGACAAGACAAGACAAGACAAACAAAACACTGAGTTATCAATACGAGGAAATAAACCCCTGTCACATCCCATAGTCAAGTACAGGTTAGTTCTAAAACAACTGTTTTGTTGAAGAATTTTCTAGTATATGGAACCAAAATTGAATCGAAATAAGCTTTATTATTTTTTTCTGGAAAGAAAAATTCTACAAAAAAACACACAAAACAACAACAACTAACACTGGAGCTAAATCATTCCTTTTCTCTTAGGAGCATGTCTCTCTGGTGATTGAGAATTTTTAAATATATTTTTCTCACGTATTCAGACTGACACAATATAGATCATTTATGGGTGCCTTGACCTTACTTGTTTGGGTCAATCCTGTCTGAAAGGAATAGAACACCCCAATAGAAAGACAGAGAGCAGAATGAAATAAATTAACTTTTAACTTGGGAATCGAACTCACGTCATTTTCGTGTGAGGCGAAGGGCCTACAACAAGCTAAAGAAAACTCAGATTCCATAAAAGAACATTCTGTTAAAATATCGTGAAGAGATATACTGTAGGCCTACTGTGTTCAATTATTTTTTTGTAACTCTCAAAAGTAAACTTCTCGACGATTTCTTTAAGCCTGGACATGCCACGACACCAACGACCTTCAAATCTTATCAGATTGGTCCGCCTTTGCTCGACACATTTGTTCACTTTTTATCAACTTTAACTTTAACGTTATTGGTTTTTCCTTGCATGGACAACTCACGTTGCACGAACTACTGACTAAACAACTGTTGTGATTGCACAGGTTTTACACAGCCGTCGACACAATTTTGATTAATCTAGATTATAGTTAGAAAGCGCGTTGCTTCAACTTCGCGAGTCACGATGATACCGGGCCGAAAGAAAGGCGGAGATACTGATAATATAAGATAGTCTTCCCAACTGGTAATCGAACTCAAAGTCTTTTAGCTTAGAAGGGCAAAATACCTTTATTTAAATAGATCTGTTGCACCACAGACGTCAGGGTCTTCTTGCCAATCTCTACTTTAATGAATAAATTAGACTTTTATGGAGTCTCACATGTAAGCTTTAAAGAAAACAAAAACAAAAACAAAAACATATTATTTATTCTCCATTGGCATGGTTGTAAAATAGCTCTGTACTGGCTTGATATTGTGTAATTTTTATGTATGTATTTGTGTATGTATTTACGTATGTATGTTTATAATTGGGTATAATTTATGTATGTACGTATGTTTGCCATTGTAAACCAAATTGCCCTTTTGGGATGAATAAAACGTAATTTATTTATTATTGAATATTTGGTCGCTTTTAAGCACAATGGGGCTATCCCGAAAAATGCTGTTTTGAGAAAATCGAAGGTAAAGCTGTTGCCCCTTGTTCAGTTTCTTTAAAAGACAAGGAGAGTTTTCTCTATAGTCAAACAAATATACACACCAATGACACCAAACGTCTCCTATACTTAGGGCAATGCCCACTTTTGCTGTAGGTTAAGGTTTCTGGAAAGCCCCGAAATCTGGGTTAGCCCGCTTGTCCTTTAAAAGCGACCATATTATCATTTGGTTCCTAGATCGGCGGTAATCCAATCACAACGTCCGGATGTCAGGATATCGTCTCTGCTGCGTCCTCCCAAAGAAGTGGACTTCGTCTTGTTGACCTGGAGGTGAGTGGTCACTGTTTCTTCTTCCTGTTCGTGTTTGACCTGCCTTTCTGAGCGCTGATGAGAAGGTCCGTGAGAAGACGAAAAACCCACTTCAAAGAACATGTACTGTGGCGAGAGAACATAACACTATGTGTAGCGACACGGTGGAATCAAGCGCTCGTCAATTTTGTTTTTGGTCAACGAGTTATTGGAATCACCCTAAAGCTTGTTCATCTGTTTTGCTCCTGATGAATAACATGCTCATCTATCTTGAATACAAGTCGAGATATTAGCATTTGAAGGAGGCGGGGCCCGGGTAGCCTTGCGTCAGAGGTAGGATAAACGATAGAAGCTTAATGACTCTAAGACTGCCTGTTGTGTCCTTTGAAACAGCAGATTTACATTTTTTGTACATTTGATCGACGTTTTTCAGTAAAATTTTAAATACACACAAAAATGAGAGAGAGAGAGAGAGAGAGAGAGAGAGAGAGAGAGAGAGAGAGAGAGAG